TTTAATGCAAAATTAAAAAACAATTTTAATTATTCTTTTTGTAAAGTTAAAATTTAATTTAATAAAAATTTAATGCAGAAGAAAAAACAGATTTAAATGATTATGTAATTTCTTGATAAATTAATTATAATGATTACAAAAATAATATAATGATTTACAAAATTAAAAGTTTTTTTAATTATTGACAATATTTTTTAAGCATTAATATAATTAATTTATCAAGAAATTACATAATCATTTTAACCCGTTTTTACTCTCAAGTCACTTATTCTACTTTTTCTCCCATTATTATTATTATAAAGCATTTTTACTATCAGCCCCTCTTTTGTTCGTGATTTTTCATTCGGTATTTTTAAAATTAAAAAATATAATATAATAATAAATAAAATATAAAATAATAATAAAAATATAACAGAAAGAAAGGATTGTGTTAGAAAATAATGTAGATAGTGACGCTTTAAACAGGAAAGTGGACCGACAAAGCAATTTTAAACGTACTATCTACCACATAGTGCACTTTTCATGTATTCTCCATAATTTTCGGATAAAAAATGTGCACTATAGGGTAACTGCACCAATTGCCGAGGGTGCTCCAATTGTCGAGGATAATAATTTTCTTTTTTAGATAAATAGTATAATATATAATATTTGTTAAAGTAGGATTTAGAAATTTAATTTTAATTTTTAAAACTTTAACTTACGTGTCCTTCGGACAAAAGAAATTGTAAAGGTAGTGGATTCCCCCTCAACTTAGTTATTGTTTCAACTAAGAGGTTGAGAACCCTACTCTTGTGTGAAATGAGAAGATAGGAAAATTGTTAGGATGTTTGAATTAAACCACAAAATGAAGATAATAACAATTAAATGTATATATTTTACCCAAAGTCCCTATTACAGATAAATCTAATTTTATGTGTAAGAAGAGTAAGTGTATCTGTGTGAATGGAATATTTGTGTGTGTTGTGACACGTAAGATCTTTACTCACTACTCGGTGATTCTTCCTTGGTAATACGAATCCAATGAATGTGTCTTGTCTTTACACCTGCTTCACGATGTTTTTCCGAAAAATTCAGGAAATACCAAATCTAGGTTCACTAGACTGATATTTCGCTGGGAACTTTAATATTCTTTTTAAGTTGCACAAAGTTTAAGATCTGAACCTCGTAAATAAAGGTTGTCTTCTAATATATATTTGAAATTAATGTTATTTATTCTTTAGTAGCTTTACTTTATCTTATTCTTTATGATATAAGAGACTTTTACTTTACTTTGATTACTTTAATTCTTTTATATTTCTTTCACAAATTCCTTTATTTTTATTCCACAAATTTTATATTCAATATCATTTATATTATTTTCAATATTTTCTTTTATTTCCTTTTTTCTTTTTAATTATATCACTTTATTTTATTCTTTATATTTCAATTATATATTTTTTAAATTCAACCTTTTTTTATTTTTATTTATTTATGTTTTTCTCAATTAAATTCACTTTTCTTAACAAACTTCTTATTAATTTCTTTAAACTTCTGAGATCCTTTTTATACAAACACGGCCAATTGCCGGACTTAGGTTTGCCTGGCCCAAAAATGCCGGCTACAACTACAGGCTACAACGGCCTGGACTAAACTGCCCAGATTTCCCTATGTCGATCACTTTTATTGAAAGACAATTTAGTGGGAGAATTCATAGTTAACGTGGCTGTTGCTAAGCCGATTTCTGCAACCTTGCAGATTTAGGCAGTGGCGTGGTCCGAGTTCGGTGACTTGGATGCACCACTCCTTATATTGAACTATTTGCTTGCCTTTGATAATTTCTATCCATTTCTCAAAAGAGTTAATAAGCTGTTTGTGAAAGAAAGGAATTTATTGAGAAGTATTGTATTATATTCTTAAGTTTTTTTACTTTAAAAATTGTCAAACTCAAAAAAACATTAAATTCAATCTTTATGTAGAATTGGAATTTTTGTCAAATTTGGGATACCTTGGATTAAAATTACCAAAGCGAAGAATGTTCCTTTTGTGAAATTACAAAGGGTTGTTTTTCGTGTAAATGTTTTGAAGCTTGTTAACAAAAATCTCTTGTTGTGTATAATTCGTTGTTTATAATTCGGTTTTTTAAGTATTGTAAATAATTATTTATGATATAAAAAGTTACGGAGTTCGGCCGTAACAAATGCCCCCCTTTTATTAGGCTGACGTCCCTTGTCAGCTGCTATGAATGCGTTATCGAAGATCCTGTTTTAAAATTTGTAGATATGACTCGTTTGAGTTTTACAAAAATCGTATCCTGGTTATCTTGCTTTACAAAAGTTTATGTTGGAGAGTAATTATGTTAATCTTTCTTAAAAACTAGCCTTACAAATTTTAATATTTTTTTATAGAACATGTTCAAAATGAAATGCGATTCAACATGCCGTATGCCTAAGTTCTTTGATTAAAGTGTTCTTTACAATTTTTTTTTTTAACGTTGATAAAGGTAATTTTTAATTCAGTTATATAATTTTAAAAGAATATTGTCGAATTTGACTTAAAGCGCTGACAACGTCTTCCCCTAGTGTGATATGAATTGGCGTAACGATGTCTACCTAAGTTGTATTGTATGTGATAGTCATAATCAAAGAAAAAAATTTTTTTTTTTTTTAATTTTTCGAATGTGTGTTGCTTGTGTTGTGGTCCAGTGCTGTGTCCTTGGTATATAGTGAAGTTGAATAACTCTTTCGAGTTTTACAAGATTTTCGTCTTCTCCTTTTTTTTACATAATTGGTTTTCTGGAAGGTAAGTAAAATTATTAATCGTAAAAAAAATGAAAATAAATTAAATTCCCTTATTGAAAGAATAAAATTAAAATAATAATAAAAAAAAAATGCTGAAATTGCTGAGTTTTCGAATTTAGCTCTCTGTGTTAGTGTGACACCGAGGTAAGTGAAAAGTTTAAATGCAATATGATATTTTACGTATTTGACTAATATAAGAGAGCAAAGCGAAAGGAGAGAAAAAAAAATTTAGTTGAATTATTGAATTTTGAAAAAAACATTATTCGAAAAAAACATTTTATAAAAAAAATTTTTTTTTAGAAATGTGACAACAAGATTGTTGTTACTGCCCCCCTTTTTATGAACTGTCGTCCCTTGTCAGTTCATAGTTTTTTTTTTGGATGGTGGGAATTTTAATAGGGTTAAATTAATAATTTGGTTATATTGTAAGGATTTTTGATTAAAATGTGATGAAGTTATTTGGAGTGAAAAGGAAAAAAGGTTTCTAATAGGACTTTACTTTTTGTATTGTAGATGTAATTTAAGGATTTTCTTCCTGTCTTCTGTCTGTAATCTTGAGTTTTGTTTCTCACAGTTGTATTTTTGCTGATTTGGATTTTTGGTTAGTCGTGGTTATGTGTGTCTTGTACTTTGTCAGTCTTTGCAAATCTTTCGTTTAGAGTAGTTGTTTATTTTTGGTTCATTGTTTTTGGGTGTAAAGATAAAAAAATGGCATCATTCGATTTTACTCTTATGAGTCAGGTTTTGAGTTTTGTGGAGCGTGGTGTTGTGAAAACAGAGGATTTTTTATTGATGAAGTTAGCCGAGATCGAGGATGCGCAACGTATTTCGTTTGAAAGTGGGGAAAGAGGGTAAGTGTGTTTTATTATTTCTCTTCTTTTCTATTTTTTTTTTATTTGGTTTGGTTAATATTAAAAGTGTATATATTTTTTTTTTTTTTTTTTTTTAGTGTGCGTGTCTTAGTTAGTCCATGGCAAGATGCTGATTTGAGGGCTGTTTTTGGGCCTTGGCCTGTCCTGCATACTCGTTTTTTTGATGGGCGAGTGTCTTTTGATAATGCTGTATGGTACCAAGAATATCGTTGGTCGTGGGCATTTAAAAAATACGAGTGTCGTTATTACTGGGCACCTGGAACTTTCGTCAATCCTACCTCTTGTGCTGTACCAGAAGACGAGCCAATAGAAGAGATAATTGGAATTTTAGGTGTAAATACATGTTGTAGGTGAGTGTACTTTTTTCTAAAATATGTTTATTTTTATTATGTATGTAGGATTTTTTTTTATATGAATTTTGTTTGTTATTATTATATAAAAAAAAATTTTTTTATAGACCTTTCTCGGTTCTACCCTACAGCCCCCCAAGGATGGGTTATCGTCCAAAAAATCCGGCTCTTGAGCCGGATGTTATGATATGTTCAGAGTTATAGGTTGGAATGGGAGGAGCCCGTTTCAATATGTAATACATGGGACATTGTAGGTATATTTTAGCAGATTTTATATTGTTATTATTGATGATGTCTTAATTGTTTCTTGTTTGTTTTTTTTTTAGCGCTGGAACGTTAGTGTGCAGAATATTTGGTTTCCCTGTTAGATAATGTGTGTTTCTATTGATATTATAAATTTTTGTTAAGTGAGTGGTGGATTTGGGTTTTGTTTAAATAAATCGGGGAGAAAAAAGGTTTAAAATTTATAGTATTTGTTTTTTTTTTATCTTTATCCTGTTCCTAAATAGTGTTAGTTTTTTTTGTATATATTCTTTATTTTTTTTTTTAAATTTTGTATTTAATGAAAGAAAAAGGAAAAATCTTATGAGTGTAAATTTGTTATTAGTAAGTTTTGTTATTAAAATTGATAGTTTTTGTTTATTCATTTACTATTAAAATTATTGAAATATTTGCAATTTTATTAAATATATTATTAGTTATCTCAAGGTAAGTACTATTTCTTTTCTATTATTTAAATTTCTGTTATTGGGGAATTATTTTTGTAATTTCTTATTGTTTTCCTCTTGTTGGATTTGTTAAATTGGCTTATTTTGTTTGATAAGATTTTTTTTTTAGTTCCAGTTGTAAAAACTAAATTAAGTTCTTATTTATTGTTGGTTCTTTGGTAATTTCTATTATATGAAAAAATTGGTTATTTTATATTTTATGATAGAATTATATGTTTTATTTTCATTTCTTACTTTAGTTAAATTGGTTTTTTATTTCATTAGTATTTATTTATTATTTATATATTTTTTGAATTGTTTTTATTAATAAAGAGAGTGGAATTTTGAATTAATAAGTGTAATTGTCGTGTGGGGTCAGCATCTCACGGTGAGGTGTTAATTGTATCCTTTCTTTCTGTTCTTCGTCGTTGCATCTTCTTATCTTCCCCCCATGTCTTTGTGTGATATGGTTATGCTTGTTAGTTTCTTTCGTGCGTCGTCATATTGTAGTCTATTTTGTTGTTATAAGTGTATGTTTAGTGTAGTTATTCGGTTTTCATAATGTAGTTTTTTTGTTTGAGGTGGATATGTGTGTGTTTTTATTTCTTCTCATTTTTCGCTAAGTGTTTATAAGCCAAAAGATGTTAATAGTGCTTTGTTCCTGTTTCTTGATGTTGCTTTTTTTTGGATTAGTTCCTGTTTCTTCTTTCGACGTGAGTAATATATAAAAAAAAATTAAAGAAATTACGAATGATTGAAGGAATTTATTTATTTTCAAGAAAAAATTTTCTTTTTTTTTTTTTTTTTAAAAAAGGCTTGTCAAAATTTCAATTGTCTTTAGAGATAATTAAATTCTTCTTCGAAATATCGATGATTTTCTAAAATTTTAACGAAATTCTTGGATTTTTTTTTTTTTTACTAAACTTCTACACAAACCTTTAATTATTTTCAAAAAAAAAAATACTAAAAATTTTACATGAATTTCATTATTTACAAATTTTTATAAATTTCCTTGTAATTTATAAAGTTATTTAATTTTTGGTGAATAATAAAATTCTTATTAGGAATTCAATTATTTTGATAATTAATAAAGCTAATTGTATAATTTCATTTATTTTTATTACAATTTTGATCGAATTCCTCGAAAAATTCAATTATTCTTAAAAATTTTATTAAAATTTATTGAAGAAATTAAATTATTTTAATAACTTTTGCTACAATTTATTTATTAGAATTTAAATATTATTTTTAATAATTTTTTAAATTAAATTTCTTTAAAGAATAAAATTATTGCATTCAAAATTTTTAATGCAATTTTTTTGTAAATTATCAATTGTCTTTATAAATAATAAAATTCTTCTCTAAAATTGAACTTTTTTTTAAAGAATTTGATAAATTCCTTGGCAAAATTTTAATTTTTTTTTTAAAAATTTTTCTTAATTTAATTATTTTTAATATCTAATATTTTAATATTGTCATAATATTTAATATTGTTCAATGTCGTGCTACTTTCTATAAATTTTTGTAAATTACCGAGAAAATCTCTATAAATTTCTATAAGTTATCAAAATAATAATTTTTTTAATGAGATCACCTTTTATATGCATTTGTAAAACATGTGAAATTATTAATTTGATGTACAATTTTTTAATTTTTTGGTCTTCTTTTTAATGAGATAATTTTTGTATGATTTTCGTTCAAGTGGATTTGTATAAGTTATTTTTTCTATTTTGCTGTGTTTCGTGGCCGGCCTTGGTTTTGTAATTTAACCCTAATTTACTTGTCAGCGTATTTTCTCGATCTGGAGTTTCTTTTATATATATATACTTTTTGATTTAATTTTGTTTACAATTGTTTTTTTTTTAACTTAGTTACTTATTATTGCTTTTTAGAGAGAAGAAAAAATGGAAAAAATTTTATTTTTTAATTTATTTAATTAACCGTGTTAGATTTTTCGGATTGAAATTATTAGAGAAGAAAAAAAATTTTATAATTTTTTATAATTTCTTGGTGTTTTTATTAAAAATTTTGTTTATTTACTAAATTAAATAATTGAATGCTTGAGTTTATAACTGAAATTTTTGCGAAAAGAAATGCCATTTTATTAATTCCCAAAAAAAATGTTTTACTTAATTTTTTAGTGAAATTTTAAAGGAAGAAAGAAAAAAAATAAATGTTTAATCATTCTCTAAGCGCGAGATTTTCAGTCTCTCTATATATATAGATATATACGAGGTACTGTATGCCTATGCTCGATGCATGGCTTTCCTCGTCTCTTTCTCCGCTTCCTCACGTTCGTATACGCCCCGCATGTTCCGCGATCGTCACGAAGCAATGCTTTGCTCCATACGTTTGTTCTTTGCTTCTCTACCTTTACCAGCTCCCCGGCGTTTCACCACTTCTTCCGGTACCTACCAACTATCTTCTCTGGCGCGATCCCAGTTTGTCGAGAACCGAAAAATTTCAAGCGCCTAGGGTGTGCATGTTCCGTACGATCTTCATGCATTTATCTTGCTTCCTATGCTTTCCGCCCGCTCCCCGGCGTTTCACCATTTCCTCAAGCACCCACAAGCTTTCTTTCATGTATAGTATTGTTAGTTTAAAGCTATAATTTTCGTACTAAGGGGAATTATTATTTGGGAATTATTTTTTTTTTTAAATCTCATAATATGGTGTTTAATATTTCCATATTTTAGAGTGTATTTGTTATTCAATTATAAGAATTAAATTAATTTAATTAATTTAAAATTCAAAATTTAATTTGAAATGTTTTCTTTTATTTCAAGTGATGTTGAGCTTTTGTAGTATGCAATTATTTAAGAATTTGTTTAAAAGATAAATCGTATGAAAATTCAATTTTGAGAAAAAAAATTCAATTATCCGATAAATTATTTTTAAATTATTTTTTTTTTAACTGAAATTTTTCTTTTATATTGATTTTAATTTCGTTTCTGTTGTTCCTCTTTGTAGGTTTTGCTTTTATTTTTTTGTTTGCTGTCCTGATGTTTTATTTTCTTAGTAAGTATTTTTTTAATTTTTGTAAGTATTTTGGAAAAAAAAAATGTGTTAATCTTGGCTCTTTTTTAGGTGGTTAGAAGATTTTTGGAGAGAAAAAGGCATCAAGCAGTGGATTTTTTTTTTTATTTTTCCCTATCGTTTATTTTAATTTGTAAGTATATTTTAAATTTGTTGTTTTCCTTTGTTTTGAATTTTTATTAACCATGGCTCTTTTTGTAGGTGGTAAGAAACAAAAATTTTTTTTTGGAGAGGAAAAGGCATCAAGCAGTGGATTTTTTTTTTATTATTCCCTATCGTTTATTTTAATTTGTAAGTATATTTTAAATTTGTTGTTTTCCTTTGTTTTGAATTTTTATTAACCATGGCTCTTTTTGTAGGTGGTTAGAAACAAAATTTTTTTTTTTTTTTGGAGAGGAAAAGGCATCAAGCAGTGGATTTTTGTTTTTCCCCATCATTTATTTCACTTTGTAAGTATATTTTTAATTTTTTGTTTTCCTTTGTTTTGAATTTTTATTAACCATGGCTCTTTTTTTTAGCTATTTGAATTTTAATTGGAGGTTCCTGCTTACAAATTTTCTATGATTTGTGGGGGTTCTTGGCTTTTAAAATTTTATCTTGGGTAAGTTTGTTAATGAATTGTTTAGTTGTATGTAGTATTGTTCATTTATGTATGTTTCATTGTTTTTTTTTTTTTTAGGTACCCTGTGCCCCCCTTTTATGACGTGTGTTTTTTTTTTATACAATAAATTTCAATATAAATTGCTTAAAAATAAATATGTAATAATATTTTAAAAGTATTATTAAACCAGAGAAAAAATGAATTACTTAAAGTTATTTTAATTATTCTACCCCTTTTTTTTTTTAATTTTGTTCATGTTCGTAAATTAAAATATTATTTTTTTGTTATTTTTATGTTGTTTTTTTTTTTGCTGTTTTTATTTTTTTTTGTTTACTCCTATTTAATTATATTTTCTTTAAATTAGATTTTTGTTATTGTTATTTCTTTTTTATCCTTTCCTAAACTGGTTCGCACATATTTTGGAGGAATAATCTGAGGGGATGCTTCTATGGAGTTCATCGGAGAATTCTACATCGTTCCCGGATCTTTTTTTTGTCTACTCTTGGAGTTCCAGTTTTACTATGTCTAAACCATGACATTCTTGAGAATTGGATACAATTTTCGGTTTGAAAGCGATTTGTTGCTTATCGACCGTAAAAAAAAATGAACTAGTCCCCTATAAAAGATTATTAGTTAATTTAAATTATTAACTTATTTTTTATTAGTTAATCTTATCCCATATTAGATTATTAGTTGATTTTTTACTTTTGTATATGTATGTGCTTTAGGGCTTGCATGTATTCTTATACATGTTAGTGTTAGTTTATTATTATATAAAATCTTTTTAATATTTAAATTGAATTAGTTGATAGTTGGTTAGTTTTATTCTTTAGTTTTTTCTTATTTGTATATTGTCTTAGATTAGTTTAAAGTTAGTATTGTTTAGCTTGTTAGTTATTATATTTAAGCCTTTTTTACAAGATAAATTATATACATTTTGTAAAATTGATTTAGCTTCTCTTTTTTTTTAGGGTATATCTATGTATTTAATTTCGGGTAATTCTGCGTATCGTAATTTAGAAATTGGGTTTTCTAGTGCGTTATTTTCTTTTCGTAGTATATTGCTTGTTGTAGGTTTATTTTCCTCTTGACATTCTTTTCGTTGTAGTATTTCTTGTTTAGTGGTTGAAGGTGGTGGTTGTATTTGTTGATTTTTTTTTAAACTGCTAATGCCTTGGCTGTTGGGTCTTTGTCGCGATGGGCTGGACGGTATGGCGTACATTTGTTGCGTTTCTGTCTCGTTGTCTTTTCTTTTTTGTTTCAGGCAGCATAAAATTTTTTTTTGGTCTTTGACGCAATTTTTTTATAGTCAAGTAAATTATGATTATTATTATTACAGTTGTTAGTGTTCCTATTATGGAATTCGTGTATTGGTATTGTTCCTTTTTTCCAATTGTGTGTAAACTTTGAATTTCGAGTCCTTTTTCTATTTCCTGTAATTTTTCGTCGGTTTCCATTTTTCTCCAAATTGGTCGAATTTCATTTGATGTGGTTGTTTCCTTCTTTGGGTTTATTGTCTTTAGAATGGGTAAGATTTCTTCTAGTTTTAACTCTATTTTTGGTGTATAGATGTATTCTTGGGGGTTGTTTAATATTTGTAGTGTAGGTAATTTTATTGTGTCAGTCTTTAATGTACATTTTGGTGACAGTTTAATAACCCCTATTTCTTTTAGCTGAAAAGTTTTGACTTTTGTTTTAGGGCAGATAAGGTATGCGGTTTCTTCTTTCGTAAGAGAATACAACCAATTTCCTGTTGTGATTAAAGGTTCCCATAGTGGTTGTTGATTTTTGGTGATCCGGATGTCACAGCTTCTTAACGTGTTATTGTTAGGTTCTCTTAATAATTCTGATTCGCAACTTGGTGCTAAAATGATATCATAGATTCCTTGAGTAGGATAACATACATATCTTTCTTCTACTAATTGGCAATTTCTTAATTGCTCTTCTTCTAAATAAAAATAGTGTCGTCCTTCAATACTTGTAGCTATATATTTAGAGTGGGGGGTGATATATGCTCTGTTTCCTACTGTTCCTATTGATTGTAATACAGGTAATTCATGCATTTTGTATAACAAATATTTTTCTTTTTCTAAGAGAGGAATGTCGAGAGTTATCATTAAATTTTCTCCTTTTACTTGTATCCCTATTTTTGAAATTTCCGTTATCGTTGCTACATTCAGGTTGTCTATATGCATAGGGTATTCCTGATTTTCTAAGAATTTATGTGCTTCGGTTGCTATTGTTTTTATTTGTTCGTTATTTAATAGTTTCGGGTGTAATTTTCCTTCTAGGGCTTTGAATATGACGTTTAAAGTTTCCTCTAGTCCATGTTTGTAGGTTTCTATTTGTTCATTCCATTGTCTAGATGTTTTTTGTAGTTGTAACATAAAATCTGTAGTAGTTAATTTGGATTCTATGTCGAGCATATCTTCTTCCAGTTTGTAAAGTCTTTTTCTTTCTTCTTCTGATCTATTATGTTGTTGCTGTGCTAAGTCGTATAAATTTTGTAAGTCTGTTCGTACTAGGTGGGTTTGTTCTCCCACTAAGTGTGATATGTTTTTCTGTGCTTCGTTTAGTTCCGTAAAAAGTTGTTCATATCTTTCTCCATCGTCGTAAGTTAAAATTCCTATTGTTGGTCCTGCTATTTTTCCTATAAATCCTATTAATGGCGTATTTCGTTTTTTCCTATTTTGAAATGAGAGTTCCTTATTTGCATTTGGTTTTTGTTTCAATTCTTGTATGAGTTCCATTAATTGTTCACGAAGTAGTTTAGCTACAGTTATTTCTTTATTTAACATCTGGTATTCCAAAAAGTCGTCGCAGCTTATTTTCATTGTTTTTTCACACAATGTTTCCATTTTCTTGTATTCTATTTCCAGATTAGGTAAATGTGTTTTAAATGTGTCTGTGTCCAGTAAGACTACTGTTCTCCATGTTCCCGAAATTCGTTGTAGATTTGGCATCAGTTCATAAAATATTCCTGTATTTTTGTTAAGAGTCTTTATTGAAATAAAAGGGTCTATATCATTTGTCCCTATTACTTCGATCATTCCTAGTATTACGATGCATATTTTAACATAGTTCTCCATTTCTGTAATCAAAATTAAATTACGTGTTTAGCTTTTTTTTTTATATTTATTTAATGGTTAGTTTCTATTGCTAATTTTGCTAATCTATCTGCTTCTTCGTTTCCTATTATTCCACTATGTCCTGGTTCGTATATTAATTCTACTTCTAGGTTATTTATACTATTTTTCATTTTTACAAAGTCCTTTTTGCTTATGACTTCTCGTTTTCGGCATGTTTTCCAACCGTTATTTTCCCATTTCGGTAACCACTCTTTTATCCCATATATTACAAATTTAGAGTCGGTGTGTATCCTAATTTTCTTATATTTTAATTTTTTTAAAATATCTAAAGCTCTTATTATGGCTTCTTATTCAGCACTATTATTAGTTTGTCTGTTACATGCTTTGTCACTGATGTTTAGGGAGTGTTCTTGGTTAAACCAGATTCCTATTCCGGCTTGTGCATTGGGTTTACCATTTGCTTTACAAGCTCCATCAGTATATACATGTACATAGCCATCTTTATCTATTCTCAAACCCTTTTTATCATTTTGTCAAGAGTATGCTTTTTTGACCTGATCTTTGTGTTTTCGAAATCTTTTCTTTTCTGCGTCACTAAGTATCAAATTATTTTTTTCTGTTATCCCTACTACTTCATATGGTCCATAGTAATAAGGGGAGAATTTTCCGGCTCTAACTTCTTCTTTCACGTCTACCAAATCTCCTATTTTTACGTCCAAAGGTTTTGTTTTACTGCTTAATTTTTCTTTAACTTTTTCTTTTGACTGGATCAAATTTTTGGCTACTATTCTTCTTATTTCGATTAGTCGTACTACTAATTCTCTCAGATAAAATTCGTATGTTTCCATTTCTCTCTCTGTTGGAAATATGGAGGGGGTGCGGGCAGTTTTTCCAAAAACTACTTCGTGTGGGGTGAATTTCGTCGCTTCGTGGACTGAGGTATTGTAGGCAAACATGGCGTAGGGTAATAATCTGTCCCAGTCGTCAAAGGCATTTGCGTAATGTCTGATAAATTCTGCTAAAACGGCATGACTGCGTTCCAAAGCTCCATTTGTTTGAGGGCGGTAGGCTGTGGTAGTAACTTGTGCTACTTTAAATAATTTTGCTAGTCGTCGTAATAAATTGCTTGTAAAGGATCTTCCGTGGTCCGTCAGCAGACATTTGGGTGCTCCATATACTGAAATTAGGTTAGTAGCTATTACATTTGCTATCGTTGTTGCATTTATATCCGGTATTGCTACGAAAATGCAATATTTACTAAGCTGATCTTGCATCGTTAAGATGTGACAATTTCCATTAGCTGTAGTCGGAAGTTTTCCTACCGTATCTAGGGACACTTTGTCCCATGCGTCTAATGGTGTGTCGGTTATTACCATGGCTTCTTTATTTTTAGTTCTAACGATTTTCTTCTGTGCGCAACTTCTACATTTCCTTATGTATTCTGTGATTTCCTGCCTTAATCCTGGCCATGTATATTTTTCTCGTATTCTATGATACGTTTTGTTGACTCCTTTGTGTCCTGCTATTAAACTATCGTGATATTCTGCAATAATTTTCTCTCTAATATTTTCTGGGGGAATTATCGTTTTCCCGTAACATAAGGCTATCCTAATATTTTCTTTTAGAAAAACTCTTGCTAGTTGTTCTGTCCAATCGAAATTTGATTCTTCTAACATTTCAACGTGTCTAGGTACGCGTATTTGTTCAATATTGTCTTTTTGAAGGGTGTTTTTTAAATTGTTCAACGCGTTCACTAGTTCGCTTTTGCTCACAGTGTCGTCATAATTTTTGGAAATTATTACTGTGTAAACTTTGTTTTTTCCAAATTCAGTGACTAATATTTGTCCCTTTTTTGGTTTTTTTGATTTCATTTCTAACAAGTCTATTGCTCCTATAGCGATCATTAATTTGGCTGTATAGTCGTTCGGTTCCAAATCTGATGCCATGAAATGTACATAGTTGTCCCTAACAGCAGTAATTGGTTCTCGGTCGTACTGTAATACCTCTAATTTGTTTAGTGAATTTTCCGTTGGAGATTCTGTAGAATTCTCTATTTTCGGGTAATTATTTTCGATGTACGGTATACTAATTCCTAGACCGAGT